GTTCAATGAATTAAACAAATAAAAAAATATATTGTTTTTGTCAGATTAAGCGAATCCCTCTAAATAATCGTCAGATTAAGCGAATCCCTCTAAATAATCGTCAGATTATGAGACAGCACGTCTAAAACATAAAGATAAACCATATGTATCTGACGCGCTTGAGTATTTCAAAATGGCAAATTTTTTTTGCACATTATAATAATGGCCGCGAGTTTGCGTCAGATCGAAGTCGTCAGATGATTGAATGAGAGCTTTTTTTTGTTACACTTAACACCCCCTTAGAAAATCTGACGCGCTCGATTATTTTTTTTTTCACTTTTAACCCTTACGTACAACCACCCACATCATGCAAACGATCAGATTAACATACCAACATTATTAAAAATACGTAGGACATTGATGCTATCAATATCTGATGTGCTCGAGTATGTCCATGCAACAGTATTTTTTTTACATATTTAATCATCTATAGCCGCTTCCCCCACCGATGAAAAGGTATATATTATATAACATTTTTTTCTTCTCATCATCTAAGCTTTGCAACCTATTATGTCTCAATGACGATCGAGTAAATCCCCATTTTGCATCGTGGGCTCCCCTGCTATTATGTATGATGATGTCCGTCTTACACGGACCACCAAAAAACAAATTGCGATCAATAACGGTTATAAGGTAGCTATTATAGATTCCATTCTTTCCAAAAAATTACAAAAGCAAGCCATGGATCAGGTCTACCCAAATTCAAGATGCGATAATGTCAGTTACAGGACATTGTCATATTTGGGTGAACCCACGAATAATATTGCCTGTTTTTGAAGAAAGAATGCGTAAACGTGGCTTACAGAACGAATAATAGTCTAAGTGAATTTATTAAAAACAATAAAGACTTATATACTTCTGATCGTATATACAACTTATATAAATGTATCCGGTGTCGAACAGATCAGAAGTATATAAGTTGGGCTCTTACTTTTTGTGACAACTTGTTTGAATGAAAATAACCCTTCTTGCTTTTTGGGTTGCATAGAATTGATAATTTTTTCTTGTTCTGTATCGTCATTCTTCAGCATTCGTTCTAATAGTTCTTCTTCAGCAATTTGGTAGGTCATCAAATGACTTTGTTTTAGTTTATACATCATTGTGAACCAACTGGCTTCGGGCATTAGAATTGTGGTTTTGTATTAGCTTATCAGCATCAATTTTTGGCTATGAGAGTTGGTTATTATTTACCCATGACGACGGAACTATGATGAACATATATACCTAAAACGTAGATAAAATGAGTCAAATCCAGCTTCAAAAAGACAATATAGGAAATAAACCAAATAAACCCAGCTTCTTAACGAAGCCGATTAGTTTGTATACTGAGTGGTCCTTTAGGTCAGACGGTAAGAATACGGCTCTGCCGAACTCTAAAAACCTGATTTGGTCTCCAGCGGGGCAGGCACAAAGTATGTGCTCTGCTGTTTCATCATTTTCCAAACAGAGGCGACACACACTGTCTTCCGACAGTCCGAGTCTCTGACAGTGATTCAAATGACAGTGACTAGTAAGAAGGATTGTTAGACATCGCAGTTCATCCCTACTATAGTCCAACAACTGTTTGGTATCAAAATTCGAAGGGTGAATAAACGCCTTGGAGTGAGCCAATCCTGGAAGATTCTGCCAGAAGTCCATAAATTTTCTTTCCATCCAGGTCTTCATGGGTGTTGCTTATGGGTAGCGATATGAATTTAGATAGAGCCATTCATAAAATAGATAGAATTTTAGGAGCGGTAAATGAGTATATTTATGCACTAACAAATTGAAGTTAAACGTAAAAAAACAAAAGTAATGATATTCACCACGAAATATAAATAAAGTTCTCGAGATATCAACGATACAAACCTCAATATCAATAACGAAAAAATTGAAGTTGTGTTATCAGTCAAATACCTTGGTTTTCAACTGGATTATTTTTAAAATTTTGACAATCACTTTGAATATATGCATAAGAAAATATCGAAAAAACTATATTTTTTCAGTAGAATAGCACAAAAGTTGTCAATGCAGTCCAAAGTAACAGTTTACAAAACCATTATTCAACCACACTTTGATTATTGTGCGTCATTATTATTTTTATTTAACCTCAATAAATCAAATATGCTACAAAAACTACAGAATCGAGGGATGAGAGTAATCTTGAAAACAAATCGCCGTACTCCCATAAAAAGTATGTTTGATTGTTTGAATTGGTTATCAGTTGAAAGTAGACTCTACTATTTTACAATAACTCTAGTAGATTAGATCTAGAAGATTACATCAAATTCAATAAATAAATACATAATTATAATACAAGAAATTCCAATAATATACATATAAACAGACCGGCATGTGGAATTATTTGGGACATTATTGGCTATCATTTATTGGTTTTTCATTTATTGTTTTTAATTGTTTTCAATTGTTGACTAGGGTATTTGTATCTGTAATGAGACCAAATATCACTGTTTTAATAATAATTTAATGTATATGTACCTATATTTCATTATCTATTTAAATGTTACTTAACATTTGATACTGAAATCTTTGTATGTAATATTCATTGTCTGGCTACATGCTAGTTTAAATTTCAAATTGTTTGAATTTAAAATTTTTTGCATACTTTTTTTTATATTTCATTGTGCTAGTGTTACTATTACACTCATAGATATGTTTACTAGGTTTCCTATTTCAGTAAAGATGATTATTATATTTGTGCAATTGGCAATGTGCTCAAGTCTATATGCAGTCCATCTAGCCTCTCTCTCCAGAAAAATGTGAAGAACACGGTTTGGGAACACACTAAAGGGGATTTAACCTTCATTTCAAAACATATCTCTCTTTCCCCGTTGTTCAACAACGTGACAAATGGGGAAATATAAAATTTGGGGAAAAATCAACAGCATTAAGAAAAAAAATTCTCTATCGATCAGTATATAAAACGACAGATTAGAACAAATATTTATTAAGATATGGAGCTACAAAAACATTAAAACGGGCAAAACTTCTGAAACAACACAATTAAATCTATTTTGATATTTCAGAAATTCACTTTGGACTTCCTATTTGGACTTTTACTCGAGTCGGTGATTCATGAAACATTAAATATCTTGTTGACTAACGTTGATTTTGATAATCAAAGGTCTCGTCAGATTGTCCCGTTCCAAAAATTGTGATTAATACATCCATTGTTGGTACTTCAATGGTACAAATTTAGCGTACTCTGTTATTTCTGTTTCAAGTTCAAATGGTGATGAACAATTATCATATAAACAATTGAAAAATGAGGAAGATAATTAGGGCTCATCTCAAAAAGGCTTTCCCAATCTTGCACACCATTCAAAATCGTACTTTAAAAAAAATCTAAAAATGTTATAGTGATATCAATAACTCGATTTTTGTGACTTTCACAAAAATATATTGTGAAAAATCATTTAATTTTTTTAAGAAATGAGTAGCAGGAACGTTTTAGGAATCACGCCTCAAAACGTAAGACCTCGTTAGTCCTTAGCTCGCACAAGTTAACGGAAAAACAAATTGTAAACATATGTATATATGATGTGTTGTTTTTCCGGGTGTTCATCCGTTGTGTACTATTCGATAGTCGACGTTTCGCCATCATCTCAGATGGCATTATCAAGACGATAAAACTGTATCACCCCATTACAGCTGCAGAAAGCTCAAATTGACCTGTTCCTCAATTTTCGATCACTTTTATAGTTATATGTTGTTTTTGAATATTTGTTTGTTTTATTGTCATCATTAAAATCTTCAATGTTGCGAATCAAAAGCCATTAAGATAATTTTGATGATACCCTCAACAGAAAGTATAGTTTTAATTCATGATATGCGTTTATTAGATTCATTGAAGACATCCTTTCCTTTGAGAAGTCAACTAAAATTATAAATAATCATAATTAACGCAAATATTTTTGTATCAAAGAATCTGAGTGTCATCAACATTATAATGTAATGTGACATTATCACTCAGAATAAATATTATCTCTGTTACTCCGAAGTTTGAGATTAGAATGAATCGTGTCATCAGAGAATGTATTTATTTCATTATTAATTTCCAAGAATAGTTTCATATTGTGCAGAATGAAAGAACCAGCAGTGCTTTTCATATTATAAATACGACTAAGTTGCTCAATTTCTTTTACATTGGAGGTGAAACAAAATAATGAAAATTGACATGGACATGTTCTCTCTCTCTCTACGTTAATGGATTTTGCTTCCATTGAGGCCCATTGAGCCATAGGACATGTTCCTTATGACAAAAAATCTTTCTCCCCCCACCTCGTAGACGAAGCTCACAACGTCAATATATATACACATTATCAATTTTGTCAAAGAATACAAAACCCATAGAAGCTCAGAGCTGTCATTTTCGTGTACCGTAGCATGTACCACCAGAGAGCGATGATAGCAAGATGTCAGTATTTAATATGATTACCAACAGAACTGGGTAGCGGTCGCTGACAAACCAGGCGGTTTTTTAATTTAATATAATTTTGGCGTCCATCCCAACTTCGATATGATCCGGCGACTGCTAGCTGCCAATTCTGTTGATACTCACATTAAAAACTGACATCGTACAGCCATCGCTCTCTGGTGATCAGGGTAAGTACTGACAATTTTACGTAACACGAAAATGCCACTTCTTAGTTTCATGAGCTGTATTCTTTGGTTTTGTCAAAGAAGTCAGAAGTGACCTTCCACAGGCCTGTTATATCGCTAAAGTTATAGGTACATCCAACGTCAGAAAGAAGTTTCAACAGACGACGATCTAAAATGCCGAAAAAATAGTTTCACTGTCGCCTTCCTTAAAGTGTTCGATATCACTCCACTCCAGCCTCATGACAAATATCCGAATCTAGCTTGCATAGTAAGTCAATTTCACTGGTGTTCTGTGGTTATATTCGAAAATAAAATAACTGTTGGCAACATGGTCGATTTGAAATATGACAATTGACATATGACATTGAACTTGCCAAGATTCAATACTGTCAATTTTGCTTATATGGCTAGCCGTAAAATAAACATAATCTTGTATTAGACTTCGAAGAGGGTGATACGAATGAGCAATCTTTTAAGATAACCGTTACAACGTTAAACTTCAACGGCCGTATTGTTTCAATTCAAAAAGAGCGATATAAAACACTTTGAAAATGGCTGAAACTCCAGCATCGCAACGTCTCAGCAATGACGATTTTCGAAAACTGCTAATGACACCTAGGTCGACTCCTTCTAACACACCAGCTCCCGTAGGATCTATAAAAGAAGCCATGAACAACCCAAATTCCATGCCACCCCCTAAAATAGAAGACAAATCTGAGGCGAGGCGTAAGAAAAAGAGTTATTATGCTAAACTCAAAAAACAAGAAGATAATAAAATGGCAGAACTAGCAGAGAAATATCGAGATCGTGCAAGTGAAAGACGGTCAGGGGTCAATCCAGATTATCAAGTGGACGATCCTATAGCGACCGCGCAGGCATATCGAGCAGTGGCTCCAGACTTGAAATCTGGTTTCGATGCAGCAGAAAGAAGGCGACAAATGATTCAGGAGTCCAAGTTCTTGGGTGGAGACATGGAGCACACTCACTTGGTGAAAGGTTTGGATTACGCCTTGCTGCAGAAAGTGAGAAGTGAAATAACACAAATAGAGCAAGAGCAGGAAATAGAACTGGAAAGATTGGCTCACAAGTCTATGGAAGAAAAGGAGAAGGAAAGAAAGGATGCGCAGAAGAAAGAAGAAGAAGAAATGAAGTTCAAAACCAAAATTGGAAGATCTATTTATCACACCATGAATTTATTGAAATCGAGGCACATTGAACGCTCGGAATTGTTTATTCCTGGTAGGATGGCATATGTTATTGACTTAGGTGAGAAGAAATGGTAACTATTATTCTGTAACTAGTTGAAATAAAATGTGTTTAATTTTTTCAGATGAAGAAGCAGATAGTGATATTCCAACGACATTGATTAGGTCAGTTGCAGATGTGCCATCTTTCGAACTAACCACAACCGTCACAACAAATGATATTGTAATAAGCAAACTGACTCAAATTCTCAGCTATTTGAGATTGGGTAAGAGAAGATTCATATTTTTATATTTATGAAACGTCAGCAATAACATCTGAACATATGAGTAATTTATATTGATTATTTCCAGGTAGTCGGAAAAATAAGAAGAATAAGAAAGGACTGACAGAAAATATGAAGGACTTTGAAACTTTGGAGGAAGAAAGTGATGGTAAAAAACCCCAAAAACGACCAAGACTTGATGATTCAATTTACGAAGATATTGGAGATTATGTACCACCATCAAAGACTAGTAGACACAGGGACAGAGAAGGAAAACGACAATCCTATTTTGATAAACACGAAACAGAACCTGTCGACAATGTTGGACCCACTTTCAGAGTGAATAAATCTGCTGAAATTCTCACCAAATTACAGCAGGAACCTGAGGGATATGCTGAGTGTTATCCAGGTAAATATATTCTTAATTTACATTTAATTTCAGTGTCTTTGTTACAATTCAGTGTTTTCTACAATCTACATGTCTGTCATGTTTTTAGAGAAATAGCACTTCAAATGAAAGTACCGTATTGTTAACGTGTATTTACAGGATATTTAAATTTGACTTGTATTTAGTATGAATAATAAATATACAATAACACATGTTTCATTTCATAGGTTTGGAAGAAATGAATGATGCCATAGATGATAGTGATGATGAGGTAGACTACTCCAAAATGGATCTTGGTAACAAGAAAGGACCCATTGGAAGATGGGACTTCGATACTGCTGAAGAGTATTCCGACTACATGAACCAAAAGGAGGCCTTACCGAAGGCGGCATTCCAGTATGGTCTCAAAATGGCAGACGGAAGAAGGTCGAGAAAACATAAAGATAAAAATGAGAAGGCTCATTTAGACAGGGAGTGGCAAAAAATTCAAAATATGATACAAAAGAAGAAATGAATTCTGTTTATTTTGTTAAGCAAATATGTTTATTGTATAGCAGTTTTATAAAAAGTATATCAATTATATTATGTATTTATTTCAAGTTTATTTTGACAGCATTTTTGATTCATATTCTTAAAATGAGTGAAAAACATGTGAGTTCAATCTTATCTCTTCATTATTTTCACGTCCGTAAAGTGATGCTCGCAACTCCAATCTCTCCGTGTCAATGCATAGAAAAGATCAATCTTTTTTTATGAGGGATTTCAAAACAAAAATTTGTATGCATTGCTTCTGTTTTGAAAACACAGATATTAAAGCAAAACCAGCGACCCTTTTATTCAAAATTGGGGTAATAAAACCTATTTTTGAAGGGGAAGACAACAATTATTGATCTCTTACACTGATATCAACTTTAGCGAAGATAATTGAAAATATTCTAATCAAATAATTATCTGAATATTACTAGGGACAAAAAAGGAATTGATGAATAAATACTTTTTGAGAGAAATGATAATTCATCTCATTTTTCGATTTAAGCTTATTAACTTTTATTTAATGTATATTTTATATTGACTTTTTTAAGTTTGACCTGTTGAATCAGTCAGTATTTTATGATGATGTTATGTTTTCTTGTCTAATGCGATTGTGAAGGAAAACTAATTCAATAAATGTTTGATTGATTGATTTTAAATAAGCTGTGAGAACTGTGACAAAAAATATATCTGCCTGAAATTGTGGAGATATGTATATGACACTAGGTTTTTGGATTCTTTCAATCCTGGAAATATGGCATAAGAACTATTAATAGTAACGAAGGTCCCATTCCCAACAGCCCATTATTTACCTTTTTATGAATCACTGTTAAAATTATCAATTTTGTTGCAAATTATCAATAACATACATCATTGATGTGTCGAAGAGTGTACCCTGTCTGATACAGACTGGTTTTAGAGTTAGGAACTAGTTCACTTCATTTTCTGAAGACGGCAATTTGGTTGGTGGAACACGCACCATGTATAGTTGCAATGTTATGTAAAAGAACCATGTCATTCGTTATTTGAAACAAAAAATATTTGTCCATTTAAAGGTATAACTGCAACCTCTGGCATAAAATAAATCTAAAACAAAAACTGCTCCCACCAGAACTACAACAATCTTCTTTTCTTTATTATATGATGTTTATGGAAACATTAATAAAAAAGAGTAATCAGCAGCAGTGTTCTGTGATTTTGTTAAAGCCTTTGACTGTGTAGTTCATGAAATACTGCTAAAAAAACTATATCATTATGGCATCCTTGGAATTACTCATAAATGGTTCGAGAATTATCTCACAGGAAGACGTCACATTGTGAAAACCTCATCAGAAGGCGAAATAAAAAAAGGCGTACCACAAGGTTCAATACTGGGACCGATACTTTTCCTGCTATACATAAACTATTAAACTTCTATCGATATAGAAGGAAAATTTACCCTATTCGCCAACGACACCACAATATTATGATGTGATAAAACTTTATGTAGTCTCCAATACAAGTGCAGAGATAACAAAAATAAAAGAGTGGTGCGACTATAATCTGCTGTCGTTCAATATGTATGGTTGATGACTTGTTTACTATATAGTAATTCATGTTCACTTAAATAAAATGAATAAAAAACACTAAATACCAGTGGTAGATATTATTTATACGACCATTTTTGTGTTTGACCCCATTATCAAGTATAAAATGTAGCTTGTAATATCCTCCAAAGCGCGTTGGACGTTGTTCACAGTTGGTGCAGATGTCTGTCAACCCCAGCAAAACTGTGTTAATCCCCTTCACCAAGAGGAGAAAATTGGACGATCTAACGCCACTTTTTCTCAATGGTGTGGTCATTCCATTTGGAACGGAGGTGAAATATCTTGGCATTGTCCTTGATAGAAAACTCACCTGGAACGCTCACTTGGAAAAAGTTTTACACATAGCCAGACTGTCTCTTTGGACATGCCGAAGGATTCGTGGTAAAACTTGGGGTTTAGGTCCCAAACAAATCCATTAGATTTATGTGATGATTGTCAGACCAATGATCACTTATGGTGCAACTGCTTGGCCGAAGGCTTTACAGAAAACGGCCCAAGCGAAGCTCTCTGACTTCAGAGACAAGCATGTCTGGCTATCAATACCACACCGTCCATGGAGATCCTTCCAGATCTACTTCCTCTCCACATTTTTCTGGAGAGAGAGGTTAGATGGACTGCATACAGACTTGTGCACAAATAAATTCAATGCAGAGTGCAACAGACTGTTGGTTGGCATGGAAGTTACAGCATTCTGGAAGTGCCCCCAACTGTTAACTACGAACTGCCTTATAAAATACTATTTCCGAGTAGAGAGGACTGGATGCCCCGCTGGGGACCGAATTAGTTTCTTAGAGTTTAGCAGATCCGTACTTTCACCATCTGACCTGAAAGTCCACTCACCATACAAACTAATCGGCTTTGTCAAGAAACAGGGTTCATTTGGAAGAGTTTGAATAGGTGGGAGCCACAATAACCCTTGTGGGTTGCGGTGGAGGGTCGGAGAGTGTCGGTGGAGGTTGCTATACAGCAAAGAAATGACAAAAAAATTTATATGTAGGTACTTAGAAGCTCATCAATATGTGTATCTAATGTGACACTACGAGCTGCATATTTTGCTTTATGTCATTCACTCATAACTTATGCCATTATTGCATGGGGGCACGCTGCGGAAAGGCATAGAATTTTCAGGTTACAAAGAAAGGCAATTAGAATTGTAGAACATCTTTTATAACACTGAGTATTTTAACATTCCCATCATTATACATATTAGAAAATTTACTCTATATAAAACCGCATATACCTCAATATGAATCATTTGAAAATAGACACGAATACGACACTAGAAATAAAAAAGATATTATCTTTAATACATGTCGCTTTAAAAAAGGCCAAAATGAACTGAAGTACTGGGCTGTGAAATTTTATAATAAACTTCACAAAAATTAATGATCACGTACTCTATCAACTTCAGTGAAGAGAATTGAAAATGTTTGTTTGACCTGTTGAATCAGCCAGTATTTTATGATGAAGTTATGTTTTTTGTCTGTGATTGTGAAGAAAAAATGATACAATAAATATTTTGATTGATTGATTTGAAATAAGCTGTGAGAACTGTGACAAAAAGTATATCTGCCTGAAATTGTGGAAATATGTATGACACTAGGTTTTTGGATGTTTTCAATCCTGGAAATAGCAAAGTATGGCATAAGAACTATTAATAGTAACGATGAAGGTCCCATTCCCAATAGCCCATTATTTACCTTTTTAATAAATCACTGTAATTGGCAAATTTATCGCAAATTATCAGTGACATATCGTTGTTGTATCGAAGAGGGTACCCTGTTTGATATAGGTAGACTGGTTTTAGAGTTAGGAACTAGTTCACTTCATTTTCTGAAGACGGCAATTTGGTTTGTGGAATAGGCACCATGTATAGTTGCTATGTTATGTAAAAGAACAATGTCATTCGTTCATTTGAAACAAATGATATTTGTCTAAGCCCTATTTAAAGGTATAACTGCAACCTCTAGCATAGAAGTTAGTCAGGGAAGCTATAGATTACGCTGTAGACGACCCCTCCCGATATAGAAGGCCCCGACACTCTGTCGAATGAGGCCCCTATGTCCTCTGTTAACATATGAATAATATCTTCATCCATCTCACCCCAGCCAGTAGAGTAATCAGCAGCAGTGTTCTGTGATTTTGTTAAAGCCTTTGACCGTGTAGATCATGAAATACTCCTAAAAAAACTATATCACTATGGCATCCATGGAATTACTCATAAATGGTTCGAGAATTATCTCACAGGAAGACGTCAGATTGTGAAAATCTCATCAAAAGGCGAAATAAAAAAAGGCGTACCACAAGGTTCAATACTGAGACCGATACTTTTCCTGCTATACATAAATTATTAAACTTCTATCGACATAGAAGGAAAATTTACCCAATTCGCCGACGACACCACAATATTATAATGTGATAAAAACTTTATGTAGTATCCAATATAAGTGCAAATATAACAAAAATAAAAAAGTGGTGCGACTATAATCTGCTGTCTTTCAAAATGTGTGATTGATGACTCGTTTACTTTATAGTAATTCATGATCACTTAAATAAAATGAATAAAAAACACTAAATACCAGTGGTAGATATTATTTATACGACCATTTTTGTGTTTGACCCCATTATCAAGTATAAAAATTTCAATGTTTCCACAATAAATTTAGTATTTGACAGCATTCCTTTACCAACACAGGATGCGGACAGGATTATATAAAACAGACCTAGTACTAAATTTTTGGAGGTAATAATTGACAATAAACTGCCAGTTTATATATTATTTGTACCCTATATAAGCGGTTGCTGTATTTCTTGATATTGAAGGACCATTTGACAATCTAAATCTATAGGATTGTCTCTGGCTATGAAGGGTATAGAATCGACCATAACTGGCTGGATCTATGCCATGCTAGAACCTAGAACTACAACTACGACTCTTCAAGGCGAGGCTATCAGGTTCAGGGTCACCAGGGGCTGCCCCCAAGGTGGGGTACTATCTCCCCTTCTGTGGTCGCTCCTGGTGGATAGTCTGCTTGATGCCCTCGACAGAAGAAAAGTCGATCTGCAAGCTTATGCAGATGACCTTGTCATCCTGGCAAGGTCCACGTCGGGAAGAGTAGCTTGTAATATCCTCCAAAGCGCGTTGGACGTTGTTCACACTTGGTGCAGATGTCTGTCAACCCCAGCAAAACTGTGTTAATCCCCTTCACCAAGAGGAGAAAATTGGACGATCTAACGCCACTTTTCCTCAAAGGTGTGGTCATTCCATTTGGAACGGAGGTGAAATATCTTGGCATTGTCCTTGATAGAAAACTCACCTGTAACGCTCACTTGGAAAAAGTTTTACACAGAGCCAGACTGTCTCTTTGGACATGCCGAAGGATTTGTGGTAAAACTTGGGGTTTAGGTCCCAAACAAATCCTTTAGATTTATGTGATGATTGTCAGACCAATGATCACTTATGGTGCAATTGCTTGGTGGCCGAAGGCTTTACAGAAAACGGCCCAAGCGAAGCTCTCTGGCTTACAGAGACAGGCATGTCTGGCTATTAGTACCACACCGTCAGCGGCCATGGAGATCCTTCCAGAACTACTTCCTCTCCACATTTTTCTGGAGAGAAGCTAGATGGATACAGACTTGTGCACAAATAAATTCAATGCAGTGCAAGACTGTTGGTTGACATGGAAGTTACAGCATTCTGGAAGTGACCTCTTGACTTTATGCCCCCAACTGTCAACTACAAACTGCCTTATAAAATACTATTCCCGAGTAGAGGACTGGATGCCCCGCTGGGGACCGACTCAGGTTTTTAAGAGTTCGGCAGATCCGTACTTTCACCATTTGACCTGAAAGACCACTCACCATACAAACTAATTGGCTTCATCAAGAAACAGGGTTTATTTGGTAGAGTTTGAATAGGTGGGAGCCACAATAACTCTTGGGGGTTTCGGTGGAGGGTCGAATAGACCCACTCACTTTAGACCTACCTACCTTATATATGTGTATAGATATGTATATTTGCATATGTATATACATATGGTTGATGACTGATGAAAACTTGCAACTTTGTCAATAAGACCTAATGTTCTTTGGGCAATAAAGTATATTATTATTACCATTTCACCAAATTGCGATCTTCGGGACTGCAAGTACAATGTGGTCTATTTTGAATACTCAGCCATCATTATCGATGTACAGCTGTAGGAAGTACAATCGATATTATGTGAAAAATCAGTTCTAATAAGAAAAACTAGAGTCAAATTTTATAATTTTTATTAAACAAAGTTAAGAGCTAACTTATTCATTTTCTTGACTACGCAGCCTGGCGTGACCATTCGTTACTCTGATGCTAAGTTGTTGGGCTCGTTCAACGATTTCTTTGCGTTTCTTTGATGAAACTCCGTGAGCTATTTCTGCACAATATTTGCGGTTTTGCATCATGAGGACCTCGAGTTCCTGAAACGAAACGAATAGTATTCAAAAAAATGTGAAATAATGTGAATTTGAAAAATGTTATAAAAATTGGTGCTCAGCAAAAGTTGTCGACATGTCTATTTCAGTCGCAAATTACCATAAACATCATGGCCAATGTATAGTGACGAATAATTACTGTAATACTACTTCGGTTATACCAAGAACACAGATTAAAATAGTGAGTTGAAACCTAGTCAACACATTTTTTTATCAAAGAGTTTTTTTTAAGGACAAAACACAAGCAGTTCAGGAAAATCATTTGACGTGCTCTAAGCATGGTGCCTGTGCTAAATTAATGATTCACATTGGATTCGAATCACTGGAGATCAAATCCATTTGAAAAAATGTTCTCAAGAAGTTTATGCTGTTGGTGGAATCAAATATGCCAAGTCACTTGAACACCTCCCGTGAATGTATCTAAAGAAGAACCTTTCTTCGACGTTCCAGACTATATTCTATTCTATAAAGGTGGCAAATGATGTTCGCGTCTCCAATCAGGTTGATGGCTCTTTTCTGGATGGAATCCAGCAACTTCAGGGTATGCTTAGGGGCAGAGCCCCATACACGATTTCTCTAGACATGGTTCTTCTCAATAAATATGTGAGAATGATTGATGAACAGTAACACAAAGTTTCATCAAAAGACGAGTGCAAGATCTGTTCACAAGAAGTTAATGTTCAAAATTCACAGGCTACGTACTTTCCATTACTGATTCGTTAATTTTTTTGTTAGTACGCTCATCTCGAACATATGTTCAGTGTTTCAGCTGTTTAGCATTTTCAGTTTATTGGTGAGAGGCATAAAAGGTAGAAGTGTTTTGCGTGCTCAGCGATTTTCTGCTATCGAGAAACGGATCAAAGAGTTTGTATTAAATTGTGTAAAAAATGGAAATTAGTGTTTAAAAACACTTGAGATGTTGACCGTGGCATACGTGGCATGTTTGAAATACAAACTGAGTAGAGAAAAATATCTTCTGTATAATTCAGTGTTCATATAGAAGTATTTGTTTCGAAAGAATTTTTTTTCTTTCGTGTAATTCAATGTTTATATGAAAGTAGCTGTTTCAGGAGGACATTCTTTCAGTTTGTGTCTGAAAGTTACTTCTTTGCATGATCTACACATCCATGTAAAGAGTTATTTATTTTCAAATTGATTACTTCCTTCCTGTCTTTGGAAGATTCCCTCATCCCCTTTTTTTGTATCAAGATGGAGTAGTAGAAAGCCAAAAACTTTCTTTCCCAAATTATTTTTAAAGGTTATGTTGAAATTCCATGCCAAACTTCAGTTGAACTATCAGCTGTTCCAATCAGAAATTTCAAATTAATCAGAAACCAATATTTACCAGACATGCGCGTTGACAACGATTTACAAACAGTTGGAAATCTGTTTGTGACTCGAGGTTGGAACGAACCTAATATGTTACATCCAGTGAACTCTATACTACCTAAAACGGACCCGTTTTCTGTAAAGTAGAAAGTGTGTCAGGGACAGAGAGATAGCATTATTTACGGTAACCTTTCTTTGTCATACTCGAGCAAATAAGTTTGGTTTGATGCATAAAATACTTTTCAGGTATAAATTCAGCTATTTCTGGGATTATAATCATTCAAAGAGTATAATATTTGTAAAGATATACATTTATGTTGTTCTAGTTTCGCTTCCTTTGTCGTGTGTGGTTTAATAAATGCTTAATTTTGTTGGCGTTATTTATTATTATTAGTCGTTCATAGTTCTGATAAAATTGCTAATTTAATTAGATGTTCGAACGAAAAAACTGAGTGAATTTCAAGAAAATGTAGTGTTTTGGATATATAGTTTGTAACCTCGTTTCTGCTACTAACCTTTAATCACTGTATTGAAATATTACTTTATATATAGAGATACTATATCAATTGACCACTGTTATACTGCCCGTCCTGAATCTCATAAAATGGTTCACAAATTTTGTCACTAGAAGTCCTCTTTATGCTTCAGATGAAGTTTACAAAATTCAACATTTTGTGGAAAAACAAATTCGTCCAACAATAGAAACTGAGGACATGTTTAACTCGAAAATAAACTTGTAAACAGAAAATTATACACATAGTAATAAATTATTTTGGCTGTGAATATATATATTTTCAAAGCTAGACATCTTATAATTCAGGAATTAGTAGGTGAAGAATGTCATGAATTCCAGATCATTCAGAAATAAGTTACTGCCATGTATTTAAAGGGCCGAATGTATCACCACAGTAAATTGTTAAATTTACAATTACATGGAAAAAGTAACAGTAAGACAAAAAAAAATGACAAAAATCATTTTGTTCAGTAACTGTTAAATACTTCGAAATAGCTGTTTTGTAATATCAAATAAAAAATGTCTGATTTTGTTTAAATTTGAGTTAACAACCCCGTGGAAAACCAGTTGAATTTTCATTCGAGTGCTGTATTGTTTCTATTACTACTTCCTTCCTGAGCAACTGTTCAGAACCAATATACGTTTTCGACAAAATAAACGTTAAAAATTTACATACATTCAAAATGTTGCGTTTCACTTTCATTAACCACCATAAGATAGAAAGAGATAGATATCTGTAACATATGCGAGTTGCCTACACAATCGATTAGCCTCACTTTTCGCCCAAGTCGGGTCGGTTCCAGGTACATATAGTATACATTTCACTAGTTAGATCTGAATATAGAAATTTTTGTGTTGGAAATAAATAGTATATATAGTTTGCCCAACTATCGACTGTGCAATTCTTTATGAAAATCACAGATTGAAATAGAGTCAAACAAATCTTCGTTTATATTAAAGGGTTAGCAGATTGAAAGCGCAGGACCACCAGAATTCCCTAAACTACTGCAGAATATGCAGTTATTACGCATTCAAAGCTGCAATGTATCTTTCATTTTACAAGTGATCTTTCAGTAAATGTAGTTAAATTTTCATATTTCAACAGAAAATACTAGAAATTTCGGCTTTTGTGGACATTTATTGAAATTGTGGTTTTGGGCTCCTTGTAGCGATAACACAGACCCCTGAACATACCAGCAACTAACCCGAAACCCCAAACACACTTTAAAATATAAATTCCTCATTACATTCAAAATTCTCAGCAGGTGAATTGCTTACCTTGAGGTTGTGCACCAACACTTTACGGAATCCAGTAGGAAGCATATGACGAGTTTTGGAGTTAGATCCATAACCAATATTGGGCATCAAAAACTGTCCCTTGAAACGCCTTCTGACTCTGTTATCAATACCTTTTGGTTTTCTCCAGTTGCGCTTCAAAAAAATGTTTCATATTACTTTTCAATAAATTTTCAATTGACTGGTCTCTATTTCTGAGAAAATAAACTATCACTATCCTATATCAGCCACACAAAAAACAATAGTTACTTACCTTAAGTTTTCCATATCGGTCTGATTGGTGTCTGATGAATTTCTTGGTTCTCTTTTTTATAATGTTTGGCCTGTAGACTGGTCTGATGGCCATTATGTACCTACAATCAAAACATTGATAGTGGAGAATAATTTTAGCAATGAATGTTTAAAAATTAATAAAGCCGGAATAATATTCATAATAAAGGACTTTGAAATGATCCTCGAGAATATTTTTTCTCAAAAACTACTGAAATACTTACAGATTACTTATTTATAGGTAGATACAAAACGTGTTTACAACTTCAATACCATTGAAAAAGAAATTGTTGAAAGAGGTTGCCAAAACTCGTAGGTGAAACTGTCGTATGTCAAAATCCGCATTCTAGTTGATGCCGTTGTTGCCTAATTGAGCGAATAGTGCGCTACCGAACCTCATTGACAGGTAAAAGTGTAGTCGACTAGAGCAAGAAACGAATACAAAAATCTTTGTTCGGAGTTACAAATATGAAATATCTGCTACAAAATAATGGAAGTGAAAAGTATGAGTCAATTGAAAGCATAAATATGAAATCAATGAAACGGGTTATCAAAAGGAGAATATTTGTTGGTTAATGGGATCTTTCCCTAATATATTTCACGATGTCATAAAACAGTGTTGAATAAAAAAATGTTCAATAGTTGATTTGAATTTTGCAGGGTTTAGTGACATCACGGACGAATGAGATGGTTACACAAATGTAAGTTTAACGAAATTGAAAGAATGACGTTACAGATGACCAGAGCCATGATTTCAAGAACCATTCGTCCTCGTGACGAATCTCAGTTGAAGGGGTAAGGAAAAAAAATTCCAACCTGATGATAATGAAGGTGACTATGATGATTTCAAGACCTTACAGTAAACTGAAGGCGTGTACATAATAGTAATACACTGAGAAACTTTCAAACGCATTTTCCCCGAAAACTTGTTTTCGTATACGTTATGTACCTTTTTCGGGAACACCACATATATAATGTCTTACCTAATGAAAAAAGATCTTTCTGATCTTGGAAAATGATTGCGAAGTACATCCTGACGGTTCGCTTGATTCGAGATTAAGGAATCATATGTTGCATCTGGAAACGCGTTTTATTACATAATAAATTATGAAAAAAGAGAAATGGAACTTTCTATGTTTTTTAATCATTTTTATTTGTAACTAACGTTACTGCACCTCAAGTTTATTGTATCAGTCAGAACATGTCCTTATAGGACAGGAGAAAAAATGAGAATTACAACTTCCTATGTTTTTATACCACTTGTATTTGTACTCGAATTCAAGTGTATTCGTTTGAAAATCTCGTTGTAGGACTGCAGTAACGTTAGTTACAAATAGAAGTGGTATAAAAACAAGTTTAAATTCTCATTGTTCATTATTACATAAGATTCATTGCCCTAACATTACTATTATATATCTGAAAATAACATAATAGTGATCAATATTTTTTTAGCAGGCAATAAAACATTTGTCCAGTGTTTTTCAAGGTTATTTCAAAAATTTTGTTGAGAAGACGTCCTGATGACGTCATACTATTACATCTTATGGATATCAGTAAAATGTTACACTTTAATGTCACATTTTTCAAATAGCCAGTTTCGTTTACATCAAAAAGTCCTATAAAAAATTATCCAAACAAGGTTTTTCATAATAATAATACTTTATTTGAAAATTTGTTGACTTCTTTTACATGAAAAAAAATCGGTGATGGGGTACACGTTGGAACTAAAAACTGATAATATCGTAAAAAATTATAGGGTTTTTCGTTGGCCTGAAAAAAATAAACAGAATTTGGGAAATTGCAAAAATCTCATTTTTCGTAGGAAGATTTATGTTCATTCAGAGAAATCCATATACGGTCATATACCTACGTTTTTCCATGAAAGGCATAGTTAAGAAAGTGACGCCTCAAAATGCTTCCTGGACTGAAAATTAATAGACTTTGAAAATGTTCGGCGGTTGTCAATTTTTGAAATAAAAGTGTAAATCTAGATATTTAATTGGCATATGTCAGTTACAAGGCCAACAAATCTTGAAAATTTTAGTGCCAACATTATACAATACTTTCCTTATTATCAAGCAAATAAATCGCCGAAATTATACTGATACGATTACTAACTAACCAAATTAACAGTCTCTTTTGTGCATAAATCTTTAATAACAAATGAGTATAAATACAAATGAGTCTTAAAACATCAAACATAAGCTTACAAATAAATCAACACTGAGTATCACAGTCAAGTCACTTTTTTGTGTATCAACCATGGTGACAAGTTTTCATCAACAGTCTTTTTGTCTGGATCAGTTTCCACTACTAACCTCAACTGTATCATCACTGTTGACATCTGTTTTTTCCTTTTTGGAATGGCTAGGACAGTGCTGGGTATCCATCAATTTTAAATCGTTTAATTGAAGGTTCATCTTCATCAGTGTCAATATTCGATACAGTATGTGACATCTCTCTACCAGAATCAACTTTAATTGTTTTTGAAGTAAAAGGCTCATCCTTCTCACCACCAGAACAAGTTTCTTTGCATTCCTCAAAAGATTTAATCAATCGTGGCAGTTTTTCATATTCATTGAGCTCTTTGCTATTTTCATCCTCTCCTTTTGAACAAGTTTCAGTTTTCAACGTTTCATTTGAGTTCAAAAAGTGCTGGTAGTAATCACAATCTTCAAAGTCTTCGTATGGAATTTCTAGCATTTTCAGATGTGTCCGAACCCGCAGGTAAGATACTACAGCTTCAATTTGGTTGGACGTGATATGATCTGGACATGCTGTTTTGATATTGAATAAAACCATTCCTACTTTTTTGGTGACTTTGATGATTGTGACAATATCCTCTTCTTTAATATCGAGTTGCGACAATTTAACTGCATATCCAAATTTAATGCAGTCACAAAGATGACCCATTACTGTACCTACTACAAACCCTCTGATTACAGCAATTTCATCCACAGACTTTCCAGACTTGAGGAGAAGGAAAGACTTTACTGCAGATGGACCTAGTTTTGGCATCTCAGGCATTGGATGGAGGGTCAAGATTTCTTGAATTGTTTTTTTTTGTTGGTCAGTTTTGTCATTAATTTTCTTTGATATTACTTTTATAAATGCATCCCCATACCTAGCCAATTTTGCTGCTGTGAATCCATCAAACTGGCAGTCTTCCATTGCTTTCAGGGTGACTGGTTTCTTTTGTGCCATACCCATGAGAGCTTTATTTGATGCAATCATGTATGGCATACAATTCTCACACCTCGCAAGGTTCAATCTTTCAGTTTGAAGCATATTGAACAATTTTACTTTTTCCTTTTTTTCAAGCAATTCCTGAACTTTTGCTGGAGATGTACTTTGATGTGATGAAATCCAAATATTAGCATTCTTCTTGAAACATGTCTGCATTTCTAAAGTGAGGCTATCCTTCAAGCATTTTCTTTCATCATTCAGGAATTGTTCTCCAGCTGGAGTTATAGTTACTGTTGAAGTGGAAGAATTGAAAGAAGAGGATACTTCTACAGCATATTTGAATTTTATTAATAATCTTGCGATTTCCTTCCACCAGATTTCAGACTTATCTTTTCCAACACCATGGAACTGATTGCTTAAAAACCTCTCGATTTTTTCAACTTTTGACCCCCTTAAGAACCCTATATAAGTGTCAATACTATAAAATCCTTTTAGGGCTTTAATTGCTTCTAGGAATTTTTTTGCATCAGTGGTGAAATCATAATTACCAGCAGCATCAACACCTTCATATATCTCATTATTCAGATTCATAGTTTTTATCAGGCAGTTATCACAGCAGAAAGGTCGTTTAGTCAAATATGTGTTTTCCCCAAAATAATTCAAAATGAATTGTCTCCTACAATTCCTTGTATGAACATATTCCTTAATTATCTGTAAATCGTATAGTTTCCTATCCTTCTGATCTGGTAGCCATCTTTCTAGATGGCTACTAAAATCTGTGTTATTATAAAATATAGTACACTTTGCTGGCAGGCCATCTCTACCAGCTAGACCTGCTTCTTGGTAATACTGGTTTATACTACCAGGAATGCCATAGTGAATAACATTTCTCACATCTGGTTTGTCGATCCACATGCCAAATGCTATTGTCGTCACAACTACATCAATTTCATCTTTAACAAATTGATCATGAATTTTCTTCTTTTCAGGTAGTGAAAGCTCAGAGTAATAAGCCCTACTCTTTATTCCCATATCTTCCAATATACCACTTATTTCCTCTGCCTGTTTTCTCAACAAACAATAAATTATGGTAGGTCCAAAACAGTTCCGCTGGCTTTTTACTTGTTCCATGACAATTTTCAAATCAGTCATAACATTAAGTGACTTGAGATTCATAGCAAGGTAGACACTGGGTCTATCCAAACTTGAAATCAAAATTTGGGGTTTCTTCAATTTTAAATTTAAAATTATATCATTTCGAACTTTTCCAGTAGCTGTTGCTGTTAAAGCTAGAATTGGGACAGTTGGCATGATGTCACGTAAAATCACAAGTTTTCTATATAGCTTTGAAATTTCATGTCCCCAAGTACTAACAAAGTGTGCTTCATCAATGGTAATCAAAGTTATCGACAGTTTTTGGTACCACGTTCTTAATACCTTTAAACCAAATTCTCCTGTGCAGAATTCTGGTGTTAGGTAAACTAAAATGTTTTTTTTATTTTCAACTTCATAAATAGTTTTTGAAATAGTGTTATTGGCAGAACCTAATAGACAGGCAGATATGTTCGCTATCTTCAGGGCCAAAACCTGTTCTTCCATGAGAGAAAGTAACGGAGATATTACTAATGTGATACCGCCTATATAAGCAGAAGGAAACTGGTAACAGAGTGATTTTCCGTATCCTGGTGTCATTACCGCACAGTTGTCTCTCCTCTGGTTCATGACTGAGTTAATGATTTTCCACTGCATGGGTCTAAAAGTCTCATGTCCAAATACTCTCTTCAAAACATCTATGTGTTCTGGTTTGGGTTCTTCTTCATCATGTTTGATTTCAGGTTTCTCTTCATTATTCGATTCTGTTCCCAATGTCCCACTCATTTCGGCAAATTTCTAGTTATTCACATTTCTTAAATCAAACGAAACTATTTTTTTTATCACCTTCAACAATTTCGCCAACCTCCTGTCAATCAAAAATAATTGAAGAATAATATATAGACAGCAGCCTCTTCGCATACATATTTTGTACTGTTAATTTTCAAACATGAATAACAATCATTTTTTTTTTCATTTTTACTTAGAATATTTGCAGATATAGAATAATACATAGTATTATCGATACATTAGAAAGTCCTGATTGCAAGTTTCCATTTACTATCAATTTTTGATTTGATCCAGCATTTCAGTTTAAATACTTTTTTTTAATGTGTAATTTGTACCCATGAGTTGAGAAATAAAATAAGTGGAAAAAATTTGAAAAACGGTTGACCCTGCAGGTCATCCTTAGAGCTTCTCACTTCTTCGAGCCTAAAATTTTAAAAATTTTACGAAATCACTTTAACCCTGCAGGAGGCGGGTCAATAATTTTTACATCAAAGAACGCGTTGGGCCTGATATACCCCAAAAGAAGAAAAATCAAATTTTCTAAATAGATTGTTATTTCTGATAAGGTGTTACATGAATCATTTATATGGACAAATAGTTATGAAAAGAACGGGAAACAATACCCTATTTTTAAAACAAAAAAAAATCGAATTAAAATAAAAACGGTATGCATTTTTGGTATCGTTACACAAAACACAAGGTATAACAATTAATCCGAAAAATTTGCTGTACATGCTTGACAAACAGATACAGAATGTTCTAGGCATATATATTTTTTACAAAACCGGCATGAATATCTTATTTTCCGATCTTTATTCAATTTCGACTTGCTCAACCAACACAGTAGCACTAATTCTAGCTGCAATCTGTCGAATTTCTCTTGGCAGATATTTGAATTGTTTCATTTGTATTACTTCTGTTTATAACCATGGCGTTTATACTAGCAACATAAATAACTACCATGGGCCACCTACTTTTATTTCTCGAAACATTATATTTTGCAGAAAGTTGGTCAACTGTATCAAATCCGCCTTTGGTCGAATTGTGAAAAGTAATTATCTCTGGTTTCACTTCTGCACCAGATGTCTCATCAATATAAGAATCATCATGATGAAGGGTTGATAATAAAATAACCTGCTGCTTATTTTTTTTCGGTATATATGAAACGATAGTCATATCTTCTGTAAAACCAAACATGCTCGACTTTTCTGGTCGCTTAGTAAAAAAATCATTGGGAATTTGCCTCTTATTTTTTCTAAGTGTTCCCACAATTTTCAACTGATGATTTTTTAGTAAATTATTGGCCACTTGAACTTTTCTCCTAGATTTTGACAATGGTAAACTAAGCAAATAGATCAGATGAAACTTCTTCGAACAACTGAGTCAATCTTTCAACTTCTTTTTCGTCCATTATTTTGTAAGAAATATAGATTTTTTCAAAATAAAATTGAAGCCTTGATTACAAAAATAGGTAAATTAGGGGCCGAAGTTTTGTCAAGAAGACGTTCTAATACGTACTTTTGTCGTACTAATAATTATTATATCTTGAGAATATCAGTAAAATGATATAGTCTATCCATTCTCAATTGGAACGGCAATAAAAAGATGAGTACAGTCATAAACATTTCTTGCCTGTGGCCCCTAGTCGCCCAGATGATTAGTAAACGTGCTATCAAATGTATAGTTGAGGAGTAAAGGCTCGGCTAGCTGGACTGGCTGAATACTAATTTTTTGTCGTTTCACAATATTTCTTTATCAGTGCTGTGTGTTCGTGGGGTTAGGTTAGGTAGTGAGTGGTTTTGCAAACCGATTTTTGAAAACTTTTTCTAGAGATCAATTACCCTAACACCAAACTGATATTTACAGCACACGACGCGCGTTTCGCTAACAAGGTTAGCATCTTCAGGAGAAGCAAATTGATACTGAATCTAAAGACAAGGGTTTGCTGTTTATATACCTAAATATACAAATTGATTTGTCAACAATAGATATGGCTTTCTGGAGACCTTTTGAAACAAATGATAACATTACGTGTGAAGAATCTGTGTCAATCGACAGGGATCAGGAATTTGAAAATAAGGACTTACATGTTCAAGTTCAGCGAGTAATTTTTAAATATTCATGAATGCTTGAAGAAGGAAAACTGTCCCACTTCACAAAATGCTATTGTGAATAGAATATGCGAGTAAACGAAACTATCTCGTACGACAGTTCTTCGAGTCATTAAAATAGGGGATGTCATTGACCATGCAATGAAATGAAAACAAAGAAGTAAAAAATTCAAAAACTTTTATGGTGCTACAAAAGATTTGATTCGGCTAACAATTTATGGTATATACCAAAAAAATGAAGTAATAATCTTGGAAATGATTTGGTATAAATTACTCGACTATTCCGATTACAATTACAAATCTTTAGAAACTCTACGAGGTGTCTTATTGTCTTGTGGTTTTAAATATATGAAATTGAACAAACGGATCAACTCCGACAAGAATATTTGAGGCGAATGAAAAGCTATCGAGAATCCAGCAGACATATAATCTACCTCGACCAAACTTGGTTTGACACCCATGATGTTGTCAAATATGGCTGGGTAGACGAAACGAAGTATTGTGCTTTGAACACACCTTCTTCAAGGGAAAAACGTGTTATAATTTTGCATGCCGGGAATGAAAGTGGTTTCGTACCTAAAACTTGCTTCTGTCGGCCAAAAATATAAAAGATATGACTGCGGCTTTATTCGAAACCTGGTTCAGTGAGCAGCTTCTCCCAAATATTCCTCCAACCTCTTTTATTGTTATGGATAACGCTTCGTATCATTCTCGGTTATTGACTACAATACCAAACAATAACACAAAAAAAGCAGATATTGTTGATTTCATGCGAAATCATGACATGGAAATACCTGAAAAGATTCCAACGAAAAAGGTATTACTGGCGACCATAAAACAACGTAATTTCAAAAAAGAGTTTATTATTGATTCGATGTGTGGAACACGTGGTGATATTCTCTTACGTTTGCCTCCATACTATTGTGTGTTCAATCCAATTGAAATGTTTTGGGCCACAATGAAAGAAAGCTTGCGGAAACTCAGTTACCGACTTTGAATGCTGTAGTGCTTGACAATATAAGGCGAGTGGTGAATGAAGTAGGTAATAGTGATGTGTGGAAGAACTGTGTGGCACACGTTATAAAGAAGAGAACAAATATGTGCAAAGTTCCATAAATCCGATCGTTATTCAACCCGATGATGATTCCACCTCATCCGAATATAGCGAAGAAAAATTTTGATTTTTCTAGCAATTTGTTGGCCTCTATTATTTTGTAAATATTTGTTTGACGAGAATTCGGTGTGATTATTTGTGTTTTCATTGTATTTTAGAGTTTTCGACTCGGAAATCAACTACCTTAAATTTCGAAGTTTTTCATAATTACCCATGGTAATTACCCATGGTCATTATTACCCATGGTAATTATGAAAAACTCAGTTGAGATAACTTTTTCATGGGGTGATCAATTGCTATGATTGTAAGAATAAGTAACTGAACAACTACTACTGAAAAATAATATGCCGACGCCTATGTCGGCATATTATTTTTTGCAGTTCCAATTGGTATTGGAAATATTATACACTTTGATGTCAATACATTTCCTAATAGTCAGTTTTGTTTACATCAGTCTTTTAAGAAATTTAGGAACAGCAGAGATCAGTATTATTTGCAAAAAATTATACATTGATCACCTGATCTTCGGCGTTTTCTCGTAATTACCATATAATAAGTTGGGTTATTTATTTGATTTTTATGAAAACAAATAATTATGAGAAATAAAGACTTATTTGAAAATTTGTTTTCTTTGCCTTGAAAAAAACTCGGTGATGGGGTACAAGTTGGAACTAAACACCAATAATATCATAAAAAATTACACTTAGGTTTTTTTGTTGGCCAGAAAAAAGAACAAAATTTTGAAAATTGCAAAAATCTTATTTTGCGTATAAAGGATTGAAAACATCCAAAATTTTCATGGCACCATTTAATTATTTATTCAACGAGTTGCGTAGAAAGGGTCATATACGTTTTTCCATGAAAGAAACAGTTAAGAAGGTGTTGCCTCAAAATGTTTTCTGGGCTGATTGCTTCCTTTCTTGGGAAGATTCCAAAATGGAGTAGTAGAAAGGCAAAAACTTTCCCAAAAATAGACTGAAAATGTTCCATATTTGTCAAATTTTTAAATAAAAAACGCAAAGTAAGATATTTCATTGGCAAATAGCAGTTACAAGGACAACATGAACCTTAATTTTCAATGCCAACATTATACAATACTATCCTAATCACCAACAAATAAATCGCCAAAATTATACTGATAAATTCCTAAATGGACCAAATAACACTATTTCTGTGTATAAATCTTTAATAATGAATGATTATAATACAAACAAACTTCTAAAGGTCGAAACAAAAGCTTACAAATAACTTAACACTATAATTTCACAGTCAAGCCACTTTTTTGTGTATCAACCATGGTGGCAATTTTACATCAACAGCCTTTTTAGGTGGATCATTGTTTTCACTATTAACCTCAATCCTACTATCACTGGTGGTGACATCTGTTTGATCCTTCTTGGAATGGCTAGGGCGTGGAGGAGATTCACTGTGATTCATACTTGATTTTGGAGATTCCAGTGCCGAGTATTCAAAATTAATTTTGGATCGTTTAACTGTAGGTTCATCTTCATCAGAGTCAAGAATCAATGTAGAGGCATTAGCAGCATTAATACTTGTTTCAAGTTCATCACATGTTGCAACCAAATCATCATCAGTAAAGTTGTCCAAACTGTGTGACATCTCTCTATCAGAATCAACTGTTGTTTTTGAAGTAGAAGGCTCATTATTATCACCACCAGAATAAGTTTCCTTGCATTCCTCTAGATCTCTGATGAATTGTGACAGTTTTTCATCTTCGTTGGGCTCTTCGCTATTTTCATTTTCTCCTTTTGAACAAGTTCTAGTTTCTGAGGTTTCATTTGAGTTCAAAAAGTGCTGGTAGTAGTCACAATCTTCAAAGTCTTCGTATGGAATTTCTAGCATTTTTAGATGTGTCCGAACTTGCAGGTAAGCTACAACAGCTTTTATTTGGTTGTAGGTGATATGATCCGGACATGCTGTTTTGATATTGAGTAAAACCATTCCTACTTCTTTAGTGACTTTGATAATTGTGAGAATATCCTCTTCTTTAATATCAAGTTGTGACAATTTAACTGCATATCCAAATTTAATGCAGTCACAAAGATGACCCATTACTGTACTTACTACAAACCCTCTGGTTACAGCAATTTCATCCACAGACTTTCCAGACTTGAGGAGAAGGAAAGACTTTACTGCAGATGAACTTAAGTTTGATATCTCAGGCATTGGATGGAGGGTCAAGATTTCTTCAATTGTTTTCTTTTTTCGGGCAGTTTTCCCATTAACTTCTTTTGATATTACTTTTATGAATGCATCCCCATACTTAGCCAATTTTGCTGCTGTGAATCCATCAAACTGGCAGTCTTCCATCTCTTTCAGGGTGACGGGTTTCGTTTGTGCCATATCCATGAGAGCCTTATTTGATGCAATCATGTATGGCATGCAGTTCTCAGACCTTGCAAGGTTCAATCTTTCAGTTTGAAGCATATTGTACAATTTAACTTTTTCCTCTTTTTTAAACAACTTAATCTGGTCGACGGTCTCAATTTTAAATCCCTGAACTTTTGCTTGAGATGTACTTTGATGTGACGAAATCCAAATATTAGAATTCTTCTTGAGACACGTCTGCATTTCTAAAGTGAGGCTATCCTTCAAACATTTCCTTTCATCATTCAGGAATTGTTCTCCAGCTGGAGTTATAGATACTGTTGAAGCGAAAGAATTGAAAGAAGAGGGTACTTCTACAGCATATTTGAATTTTATTATTAATTTTGCAATTTCCTTCCACCAGATTTCAGATTTGTCTTTTCCAACACCATGGAACTGATTGGTTAAAAACCTCTCCAATTTTTTAACTTTCGATCCCCTTAAGAACGCTATATAAGTGCCAATACCATATAATCCTTTCAGGGCTTTTATTGCTTGTAGAAATTTTTCTGCATCAGCAGTGAAATCATAATTACCAGCAGCATCAACGCCTTCATATATCTCATTATTTGGATTAGTAGTTTTCCTCAAACAGTTATCACAGCAGTCAGGTCGTTCAGTTAAAGACGTGTTTTCCCCAAAATAATTCAAAATGAACTGTCTCCTACAGTTCCTTGTATGAACATATTCCTTAATTATCTCTAATTGTTTTTCTTTTCTCTTCTTCTGATCTTGCGATAATGCTTTGTCTAAAAATTTATGACTAGTAAAATCTTTGCTATTATAAAATACAGTACACTTTGCTGGCAAGCCATCTCTACCAGCTCGACCTGCTTCTTGGTAATACCCTTCTATAGTACCAGGAATGCCATAGTGAATAACATTTCTCACATCTGGTTTATCAATTCCCATACCAAATGCTATTGTAGCTACTACTACATCAATTTTATCCTTAACAAATTCATCATGAACTTTTTTCCTTATAGAGAGTGAAAGCCCTGCATGATAAGCCATACTCTTTATTCCCATATCTTCCAATATACCACTTATCTCCTCTGTTTTTTTTCTTGACAAACAATAAATTATGGTAGGTCCAGAAAATTTCTGCTGGTTTTGTACTTGTTCCATGACACTTTTCAAATCAGTCATAAAATTAGGTGACTTCAGATTCACAGCAAAATAGAAATTGGGTCTATCCAAACTTGAACACAAAACTTGGGGATTCTTCAATTTTAAAGATGAAATTATATCATTTCTAACTTTTTCAGTAGCTGTTGCCGTTACAGCTAGAATTGGGACAGTTGGCATGATGTCACGTAAAAATCCAAGCTTTCTATATTGAAATCTAAAATCGTGTCCCCAAGTACTAACACAGTGTGCTTCATCAATGGCAATCAAAGTTATCGATAATTCTTGGTACCATGTTCTCAATACATTTGAACCAAATTCTCCTGTGCAGAATTCGGGTGTCAGGTAAATTAAACTGTACTTTTTTTTTTCAATTTCAGAAATAGTTTTTGATGTATCACTATTGGCAGAACCTAATAGACAGGCAGATATGTTCGCTATCTTCATTGCCAAGACCTGATCTTCCATGAGAGAAATCAAGGGAGATATTACTAATGTGATACCGCCTATATAAGCAGAAGGAAACTGGTAACAGAGTGATTTTCCGTATCCTGTTGTCATTACCACACAGTTGTCTCTCCTCTGGTTCATGACTGAGTTAATGATTTTCCACTGCAATGGTCTGAAAGTCTTATGTCCAAATAATCTCTTCAAAACATCTATGTGTTCTGGTTTGGGTTTTTCTTCATCATGTTTGTATTCGGCTTTTTCCAATGTGTCCATAACTTCATTATCCCATTCTGTTTCAAATGCATCATCCATTTCGGCAAAATTTCAAGTTATCCACATTCCATAAATTAATTTAAAGGTATTTTTATCATCTCCAACAATTTTCAAATATGTCAACAGCTTTTTTTTATTTCCAATTTTGCCAACCTTCAATCAAACAAAAACATTTAAGAAGAATAATATATAGACAGCAGCCTGTTCGCATACATATTTGGTGCATTTTGTTTTTAAACATGAACATTAGATTATTTTCCGCTATTATGACCTAACCTCACTCAATGGTCATGTGTATTGAACATAAACCCTGTATCCTGTCTCTGGTTCAAATCCTCACAATTGGCATTTTATTCAATTTCATCGATTGCACATTTATTCACTGAACCACATAGAAATAATTTTATTTTCTACTCTGTAACTGAACTACAATGTCAAAAGACAATTTGTTTCTGCTTATCAAATACAATTCACTCGATCTTTTCAGCTAGATTTTTATCTGCTGTAGACCAGTGAAACAGGTCTTTTTTTCCACTCATATGAAAAATGTCATGGACGGAAAGAAGTACTTATAATGCATATATCAATGTGTACATCTACCCTTAGTGAACACAGTACTTTGTGGAGCATTATTTCGACGCACCAACAAATTTCCAACAATCACCGTAAAAGGCATTTTTATTATATACGAACATAAATCAGTTAAATACTCTTCTAAAATTGAAGTATATACATAATTTTTGTTCAATAAATCATGTTAACCAACAATTAATAGAACTTATTGACACCACTTACAAATTGTAACATAACCTCATCAACTTTTTGTTTTGTTTTTTTAAACGCGCCATGTGTATTATTTAAATGAACGCTCAAAACGCTCCAAAATCCATTCCACTTCAGTTAATGATTGTGACGTCCAGATCCAAGTGGAACGGCAAAAACCGTGGTCGTGAGCGTGGTCGTTGTGAGTGCTTAGTGGAACGCACTGATAGTTTATGATAGTAATTATTCATCTTCTCTTTCATCATGTAATGGCCTCAGCTACTAAGTAAACAGATTGAAATCTCCTGGAAAACTATCACCTGACTGCATTAGCAGTAATATTTCAAAATAAGATTTATGAAGGTTTCATTTTTTTCATTTCATAACAAGAAGCAACCCAAGAAAGGATTTCAAAAATATTTTCTATTTTTGTTATTTTACCCCATTGTCAGTGATTTGAATACACCATAATTTTGTTATTGTGATCAACTTTTGAAAATATCAGTTTATTCGACACATTACAAGTTTCTAGTGGGTACACTTGAGTCCCCGATTTTTTTTCATTGCTTCAGAAACTATGTTTCTCAAAATGAACCGTCAGTTCAATTATTGAGTATGACATATGGGAAGTGTTCCTCAATTTGGGTTATTACAGCAAATGCAAGTTTGAACAAAATAAAGTTGAGTTTTTCAAATACCCTTCGAAAAGTATTCAAATTGATGTTTCAAATGTTGCCTATATCAAGTTGAAATGATTCATACGTACCTAGATATTCTACTTTAAAAAAGGAAAATTATCTTTATAAATCAACAATTAAGGCAAAATATAAATTATAGTTCAATATCACTTCCACAAGCCACATAAACAACAGTTGTTTGGTTATTTATTTATATAGAAGAAGATAGGTTTGGTGCACAACATTTAATGTCACAGAATGTCTCGGAACATAAGTAAATAGAACAGCACGCCTTGAAATATGTCATCTTTGTTTGTCTCATACAGCAGGTAACAGATTCATTATCCTTTATTAGCTATAACCGATGTTGCCAAATGGTGAAATATAAAAGAATCACTTTAAATATTGAATGCATCATTTCATTCCTCTTTTTTTAAGTTTCAGTGCATCATAAGTATTTAAATATTTTTTTAAAGAAAAAGGTTGAAATGATAAGTTTAAAATGCATTGTTTTAGAGTTCTTTTATGAAAACTACTTGATTTTCGTCAGGAGGAACATTCCCTATCATATGAACAATTGCTCATATATGAAGGTGTTATGTAATGCATATGGTCAACTGTAATTGGTTCGCAGCTGTTGAGTAATGGATTACTGTATACTGGGAGAGTTCATTACCAAACAATAATTGACAATTTTTATGATAGTAATAGAAAAATAGAATACATTTTTTTCATATTCTGTGCGATTTCCTAAAATATGAACTGTATCAAGTTAATTGCAGTGCTATACATAATAGCACGTTTAGTGTTAATGTTCAACGGTGAAAGCTGACAAATTTCTCCTCTGTTTATTCAATGTTAGGTACTTTTGTTGTACTTCAATGAAAATTGCGGTTTTTTTTCATTTTCTGTGACCACCAGTTGACACAGTTTTTTCTTTGTTGATGGTTTGACAACCTCAGACCTGCTTTTTTAGGTTAGCTTATTGTTTTTCACAGATATAAATTGAGAAATGGCTTCATCGATAATGAGCTAGCAGCATAGTTTGTCATATTGTTTTGAAGAATTTCACAATTGAAAAAAAAACAATACTGAAAAAATTGAGACTGTGTGGTCCTCATCTAACTTAGATGTTCTCTGAAACCGCAAAATCGACAAATACATACAAAACCCATATGAAGTATTCTCAGTTGTGAACATTGCTGAACTTAGATTAAAAGTGGATCCTCTATTACAACAAGAGACGTTCAGGACAGTGGTTGGACACCAATGAGTCACCCAGGCAGCCAGTGTTGCCAACTGGATGAACTATAAAGTCGCTACACGTGAACCAAAATTCCGCTACACTACTTTATATTCCGCTACGCTTGTATATCTGACGAAATCAGTTCGCGCATGCGCCCTATCCGAAATTAAATACTACAGAACTTACAGTTTGTGTATCGTTTAGATACCACAAAACTGAACTGTCACTAATGTCAGGAATCAGGATCATGCTAATTTTCAACCACGCAACTCAGTAGATGGTACCTAATTTTCTAAATTTACAGCAGTTAAGTTTTGAAAGCTGTCGTCTCGACTAAATATTTCTTAGCTTGTAATAATGATTTTGAAAATTAAAAATAAACATCAATTTCTTCACGTACGTATAGTCACACTGAACTCTTGAACGATCATTCGCGACCGGTCTAATCCATCCTTTCGAATTGAAATCAGACAACCGATGTTGAGAAAAAGTTTGTTTTCGAGACTTTTGTATTTTTTTGAACATGTCCCTTTCCCTTCAATTTCAACTACTGCAGCTCTTTCGCTCGAGCTACAATCAGTTGAACTATCTTCCATTTCCACTGAAATTTGTTCCACATAATTCATGATACTCGAGACGGTCGACTTTTAGTCCCCCCCCCCCCACATGCCCCTCCCGGGTTGAGTGCCCTGAAGTAGAAGCTTCCCCCCAGCTATTTAGAGAGGAGAACCTACTACCCCACTCCATACACCCCCGCTCTCCGAGCAGTCCTCAATTTACTGATGGGCACTTCAGCAAGATTGACATCTGACCTCTTTTGGTCGAAAGTCAGCCTTTAGGTGCTATTCTTTCGCGATCGGTAAAAA